CAAACTTTGAGTGTTGGTAGCGGGATAAGGAGGAATGTTGTGGTGACATGTTATAAACAAATTAAACAACCAGATCTGTCTCAGCTCTGAAAGAATGTGCCTTAATGTGACTGAATAATATTTTTGAGATGTCCACTATCAAGCCTGAATGCTATCCAGCAGGCAGCTGGAAATGGTGCTAGAGTCCAGAAGAAGATCAGTCTTTGTCCTAAACAGGCAGCACCTTCAGTTTAGTCTAGTGTTTGAAGTCTCGCTTCTCCCAGAAAAAGGCCTAATGAAGAAAACCGGTAGGCAGATGGATTGACTGAGGTGTGAAAATTGAATTAGAATTAAAATTTAGATGTGGCCTGCAGTAATCCTATAAATTATGGGCTTTGTGAGACTGGCTGCAGGGAGCTGCCTTTTTTGTGCTCTCCTACTTGATATACTGGCTACAAGAAAGATAATTTGTACTGAAAAGGAGAAGGGGATCACCTAGCTTATCCAGTAATGCACTGACTTTCAGGAAAGCAAATCTTGTCTCAAGGAAGGAATACATGTTGTTCTTCAGTCATCTTTTACACAGGATGCAAAAACATTTCATCCTGAAGCAGAGGATATCTGGGGAGAATGCTGCAAAGGATATCCTGGTAGGTCTGGCCAAGTCTGGCGTACATGTAGGGAAGAAAATAGTCCAAGTTCTAGTGTTTAATGGAAAGATTCACTGCAGAGCCCCACAGAATATACATTTCATTTAGTGTTGTAAGTGGTTCTGGAATAATGTGCCTTGTTCAGATTTAAGGAGTTTGCCAAGGCAGCACGTGACCTATTAGGTACAATGACACTGCACACTGGAGAGCAGAGAGCTGTGACTTTAGAAGACAAAGTCTGCAAGGAACGGGCGGATAATCAACAGAAGGGCTGACAGATTTGTCAAGACAGAGACATGAAACTGTTGAGTCCATGTCAGCGTTTTAATGTTGTACTTGGTATTTAAGCCTAAGCAAGCAACTCTTTGTTAGTCCATACAACAATTTAAATCTTCCAGTGTGCTTCTGTGAGCTACCCTATGTCACGTCGGGGAGCTAACTTCCAGGGAATGATAATTCTTTTTTAATTCAGCTCTAACTAAAGAAAATGTCTTGTCAAAAGAATCAGTGAGAATTTTACAAGCAATGGTAAGGATTTTCTCCAGCAGTTTTCCCGATTGCTGCAATCTAGAAAAACTGAGAATGTAGGAGAAAGCATGAATTGCCAAATTATAACATAGGCATGGAAGCTTCTGTTACATACTTTTTTTTTCTTTTTTTTTCTTTTTTTTTTTTTAAGAAATACTGGTACCATAAGAATAGAGATGTGAGTCTGGATTTAGGCTCATAAGGGATGTAATTATTCAGGGTAAAAAAGATAAATGTATATACAGTTGAATTTCAACTTATTAAGGGCCAATTTTCTGGAAGAAAAGGACAACTAATAAGGAGACAATTGGAAAACAGTGGGATCAAGCACATAAGAACCACGAGTTAATGAAGTATTACCCTAAGCATTGTCCCAGGCCCAGTTTAAGCACAAAGATCTGATTTTGAAAGCTGTCGAGCAATGTACATAAGGAGTTCTGTGTTGCTCTAGGAATATAAGGTATGAATATATTTTTATATATATATATTTATAACTTATACGTAAAGACTAACGTGAGCTGTAATTGATGTATTTACCTGTGAGTTACAGTTTATAAATGAAGTGCTGATGTCCAGGTGCTTCTCACTTTTGCCATAACTTCATACAATATCACTGTTGGTTAGATTCCTCTGAATTCTTTAATGTTTCACTTCTCGCTGTACAAGAAGGTACAACACACCAAATTTCAATGGTGTGGGCCCTTCCTAGGGGGACGTTTCCCTCTCAGTACATATTCACTGGAGAGAAGTATTTTTGAGGGGTGAGAAAATCCGTTGAATAAGAAGGAGGAAATCTTTAAAAAACACACCTGAAAAAGGATGGCTTTTCAGAAGAGCATTGCAAAAACGCTGACAAGATGGTTATAATAATTTTGCTAATGGCATTCCTAAGTAAATAACTGAGGTAAATCGATTCAGGCTTTGTATAAGAGGGACAGCTTTGAAGCTACTCAAAATCTTGGCCTTTTGAAAGTCTTTAGTTTGACATGAAGCTTAATCAAGACAGTTAAAATACATAACAGGAAGAAAATTAAGTGTCTGCCTTTTGATGTTGAGAGGTGGTGTTTAATCTTAGGACTTGAAACATCATCAGTCTCTTGGAGGACTTTCAATTCATTCCAGCATTCCTGTTCCATCTTGATATAAGGAAATTTTATTGCTAACTCATGAACTAGTTTCAAAACTTTAGAGCCCTTTCCAGTAGTCTATTGTGAGCAGTTCTGTGCTGAAAACAACTTTTTAATACCTTTTTTTGTAATACCGGGTTCCAGTAAAGCTAGTTCTTCCTTTGGAAGGTGGCTTGACATCCATAAGAAATCTCAGTGTAAATCAAAGAGCCTTTTTCAGCCAGACTGACTCAAAAGACTGTAAAGTTCAGGCCTGTGTGCGTATTTTGCACCATGCCCTGAATTCTTCTGTGGAAATGTCGTGCTGGCTATGCTATTACATTCAAATTAGGTGACCCAGCCCATATAAAAGATGCTCCAAACCTAAAAGTAATGGGCATTTGTTCAGGGCATCATGGCAAGGTTTGCAAGCTGACTCATGGCATTATTCTGATTTAGCTATGTTGCTTTGCATTCTGAAATAAGGATACTCTCCACTGTCTTTGGAGACACCGCACCATTTTCAGCTTCACAGTCTCCTCACGCGCAGTGTCACAGGAGGCTTTTATCAATAATTTGTGCATTTTACAGACACTTTTTCTAGTGTAAACAGGTTTAGTTAAAGACTGATTCCATCTGCTCAGCTTTCCCGTGTCTCCCAGGTCCAGGAGACTTTTAGGAAGTGTAGTCAGGGGCTAAACTTCTGAATTGCATCCTGAATTGGCTGAGATTCAGCATTATCAGTGGAGCCACTATAAGCTGGCAGGGCAGGCTGACCTTCAATCTTCTGAAACATGGAGTTTTCAAAGATGCATATTAATCATATCTATTCTATTGTTTTCCTGTGAGTCACCAGGTTTCCTTCAGCTGAGAAGTATTTATGCCAAAGAAGAAAATCAGAAAGTGCTATTTGTTTCTTCCTCTTACCCTTTTGACCTCATTCTGCCAACTGTATATCCATGTGTACTTCGTGTTTCCAAAGATAAAAGTGAAACACCTTGGAAGATTTCTCTGGTGTGATACTCCACTGTAATAGCGGGAGAGCTTAATACATCTAGAGCTCTGCTTGCTTCATTTCTTCTGCACATATCCTCTGTTCACAGGAAAAATACAGAACTTATCAGAAGATCTTTTTTTTTTTCCACGACTGTACACTTACATTTAGCACATGCAGGCCTAAATCTTTTGAAAGTAAGTACTCTGAAAAGCTCTAACTTCAGGGCTTTTAAGAGGTATCATGTTTCTGTGAAGTATAGAGGAACCAGATAAACAATGGGGAAGTTCAAGCAAAACAAGGGGGTGTCACTGATGTGCACATTATATAGACATAGAAGATAGAGATTAATACTTTATTGTTGGAGGTAGGTACAGCTTTGTGGAGATCCAGCCGTGTTCTTAAAGCAGCAAAGCAAAGCGGGCCAGGGAGATACCTGATGCACAGTCTGATGGCTGCACTGTCTTAACACTGGAATTCATGAGATGGCTGTGTACAAGAGCAGCAGAGGGAAGAAGGCATTCTCAGTTCCCCAGAAAAACCCACTATTTCTCCAGATTTTTTCCCCTTTCACACAGTGAGAACTCTGTCCCTGAGACAGTGGCTGTGGATGCCAGGAGGCAGCAGGGTACTTGGAACAAACTTCTTGAGAGTCTGGCATGAGCTCAGGGGAATTAGTTTCTGCCACCATGCAGAAGGGTATAACCACTCATTAGCTCTTCCTCTTGATTTCACTGTTCACTAATCTTCTTGTAATTAATCTTGCAGACTGGATGATATAGGGACCATGCTGTTTCCCTGCCTGCTTTGGGGTTGCTATATTCAAACCCCCAGAGCTAACATTTTGTGATTCAAAATTCCTGAATAATTATTGAGGGTTCCGTTGTGCCTGCGCAGATAGTTTCATATTGCACTTACATGGGAATGAAGGTCCTGCTGTATTCCTTGAAAAAATTCCAGTTGTTTCTGAAAATCAGCAATTAACGAGAGTGTGTTGTATATTTTAAAACAATAGAACTGTCTGTAGTTGTGTTACAAGTTTACTCTGAGTGGCTATGGGTGAGCATAAGTTTGTACCTCTTCTGCTTGAAGAAATACGTGAATAGCGTTTTAGGGAATCAATTGTTCTGACCCTCCTAGGGCTAATTTTGAATAGCACTGTGTGAACGTAACGGTTTTCTAGAGGAACAAAAAAACCCAACACTCTGCCACCTTTGGGTGCTGAGGTAAACTGCTAACATGCTTTGCAGTCCTGTTTCTGGTTTTTCAGTGCACACGCGGCTTTTCGTACCAACCGCTAGGATACAGGAACTATTTGTAATGAGCTCTCCAGAGATTTCTTGCACTCTGTGCGTCCTTGAGCTACTCAGTAACGTCCTCTAGGCTTTCTGTTTTTCTGTTACTGATCTTTCTCATTACCTATGAATGCTTCACGGTTGGGAACAGAGGTGGGAACTGTCTGGATAGCCCAGCGCAGTGCTAAGGCAACATCAATTAGCTTCACTCCTTGCCGTGTAAACTTGGATATCGCTTCATGGCAGAACCTTGTGTCCTTTACGTCTACCCAGATGTATGTGTGTTCCTTTTACCTATAGTATGTGTACTGCTACATAGTTGCAAACGCATGCTGTTTCTCTCTCCGCTTTCCCCTTGGTAGAATGTTGAATATTCTATCGATAGCAGAGTGTGAAGGTAGGAGATGATGTCACCGAAACAAATGTTCTCCTTTATTTTTGTTTCTAGATTAAAACAGCAGATAATGTCACCAATTGCAAGGAGGAAGCAGAAGATGACGACACTTACGTGTTTATGTTAGGCTCAGAAACTCAATCAGCCATGAGTAAGTCATGTTGTTAGACAACTTTATCAATGACAAAGCATGTGCTGTATTGAGTGAGTGGTATTATGGACAAACCAAGGGGGGAGAAATTATTTTAATACTTTCAATTTCCACATGTTACTGCAACTTCCAGAGAGGGCAGATGTCCTAGGAGAAGGGGGAAAGCAGGTGAGGGATTCAGGCCTGATGACAAAGGCATCTCTCAGCAAGACAGATCTCGGTGCAACCACCCCTCCTAGTAAGTTCTGGAAATCTGTGATCTCTGCTCTGAATCTAGGAAACAGATGAATTCTCCAAGTTCTCATAGAACAGCCTTCCTACAGGCGTGACCAGCTCCTATGTGGAGGCACAGACAGTAGACATTTTGCAGCTTGGTGTTCACATATCTAAGCATGGATTGATGACAAGCTTGTTGATAAACTGTGTGGTCATACGCGTTCCCCTTGAAAACTGCAAAGTTGCTTGTTCATGTTTACTGATGGTGTATATTTTCCAATTGTTTTACAGTATCACAGATCTATAAAGCTAAACTTTATCCTGTTTCTATCTTACGTGTTTGTTGAGAATTTTGTCTTTTCAGCTGTCTCATATTCTGTATGAAGAGGATGTTTCTCATTTACTGAGTTTAAACTGATTGCTTTAGCACATCTAGGTAGATGATAGACACTAAAAAATGTGAGCTAGAAACCTGGTTAGCCCTGATGCATTTTCATTGTCTCTGTCACACTGTCTATGGGAACACCTCATATGTGTACCGCCTATGTGGAAGAAGAGCTGGGATTGTAACAGTGGGCTGTGTTAGCCAGCTAAATGCCTTAACCTCCCATTTAAATCAGTGGTGAAAGGAAGGCATCACCAAAGGATAACTCAGAATGGAAACCTCCCTCAAGGGCTCGTTATTGCCTGCTATGCATTGGCTGTAAGTTTGCTGACAGACTTGTGTGGTTTACTTGGTTGTGTTACTGATGTTGACTACACAAATCTTGATGCTGTACCTAGTGATTGAAATGTACGCTTTCACATCCCTCCACTATGTTCCTGTTCTGTGGTCCGTGGGCCACTGAAGACAGGAGAGCTTCATTTTCACAGGAGTGCAGACTCGTCTCCCAGGTGCAATGTTTATTTCATTTTAGAGAGTTAAATAAGCACCCAAACCCCACAGTATAAAAACAAGTTAGACAGCTGTGTGAGCTATGGCTTTATTTTACTAAGTGCTGCACTGTGCTGCATTGAAAGTCAAATAATACAAATTATGGAGGCAAGGTAAGCATGTGTGATTTCATTCTGACAGCAACTCTAGAAAAGTTTAACATTTGTGTTCCCGAAGATGGTGTGTATCAGAGTAGCAAGATACAATAAAAACTTCCACTGATGATTTAGTAAATATTTAAAAAGCTGTTCACTGACAGTATGTATTTGACAGCTTTCCCACCCTATCAGTTCATAAAAGTTTTATTAGCCATTGTATTATTTCTGTGGGAGTCCTTGAAACAGGAAATGTTTCCAGATGGCAAATTTTAAATGAAATAATGCATTCTTTAGCATTAAAAGCTAAGGAGAACCCAGGAGATCAATATGGAATTGGATCAAAATGCCAACAAGAAGTCGAGGTGGATGAGGAAAAGAAAGATGATGTAGAAGATAGCAGAGAGGAGACGGAACATGAAGATCAAGAAGAAGAAGATTCATGCAGCTTTCACAACAGTCCTGACAGTTTGTATGCCAGCATACCTGATGACCTCGAAGAGAGCAGGAAAGACGGCTTTTTCGGTAGGAGGCCACCTCCTCCCCCCCCTCGAAATCTGCCTGGCATCCTAAGAGAGGACGAGCCGCCCAATTTATTCCAAGGTACGATCTTGGGAGGAACATAACCCCAGATACGAACACATGCAAGTGCAGACTAGGTGCTGCTGTAGAGATTATGTATGGTCACTTCTTCCAACAGCAGTAGCTAGGCAGTATTGCCCTGATTCTGCAAAGCAAGCATGTGCATACGAATTTTGCTACATCAAGATATTCATGAGAAGGTATGTCAGCTCATACTGTGGTATGGGCTGCTGGGTTCCACTTTCAGGTTTTCCTCAGTCTACCCATCTCAGAGAGCTGCCAGATAATACATGAATCATTGGATTTACAAGAGAGGCTTGAAACAAAAGATTGAGCATGTATTTTTGTCAAGTTGACTTAAGTATTTACCATTTAAAAATACTAAATACAATCTTGATTTAATACAGCTTGGAATTTCACAGGTAGAATTAATAGAAAGTGACTGTGGGGGGAGAAGTAACATAATATTTTATTACATTTTAGCCAATGTTGTGGTTAGAAATACAAAACTATATTGTGTCACAGATTGAAAAGAGGGAGAAATTGTGACCTTTAATGAAATGCTTTGCCCTTTTTTTTTGCCTTTTTCTTTTTAATTCTTCTGCCCCAGGGTAAAAATCTAAAATTTAGTGTTGGAGTTTGATTCAGGTGATGAGAAACTCAAAATACTATTTGCATCTATTTCAGAAGGGATGATTATAATTTTTTCACATTGGGAAAAATAAGTACGCAAAAGAATTTGAGTTTAAATACCAGTCTTGAATAGTCACATAGGGCATAAAAAACTTATTATTTGTCATGGACACTAGTGATACGTGTGCACACAAATTGCTTCTCAGTTTCTCCACTGCTTATTACTGTTAACTCTGTATTTAAATGTGGCGTAACGTAATAGAGTCTTAAATTACTATCGCCAAGCACTTTGAAGTTCACATGAGTAGATAGAAATAGCTATCTAGCCTTATAGCCTGCTACGGGTAGGTTTTCATCCTGTTTTCTTTCTGTGGAAGAAAGAGATGGCTAGATGCAAGTTATAGGTAGATTGTAGGAGGAAGACAGACAGAATAAAATTGAAGATGCATTTGGCTTCCCACGAAATACCAAACTGCAGCTACACGTGTGCATAAGTGAGGGGTCAGGGTTGGCATACAGGATTTGCTAGTGTAGGTTTGATATAAGTGCCTGTCTTGGAATAGCTCTCATGTGGTTCTACCATCAAGTAATAATGTGACCCTCTCTGCCAAATACAGATTGTCTGTATGTGGGTACCAGCAGGGAGTTTCTCAGCTATGTAGCGTCCTGTGCTGAAAGCTGTGCTGGTACAGCAGAGTTCATGTAAAAACACTCCTCTGTGAACAGTTCATTTAAAACATGCTGTGAATTTTCCTGAATTGTTAGCCTTGGTTTCAGCACTGGAGCATGGGCTGGGGGGTCTAGAATTCCTCTAAATGAGGACGATGCTTACTTTCAAAGAGGAGCTCTAATGAGTCATTGCTACGTATTTTCAGTCAGCCACTTGCTTTAGGTGTTGCTGTGGAAAACGTAAAAGGCAAGTCCCCTCATCTTGAAGTCTTTGTTTTGGCAGTGGCATGAGAGTGCCCCCTGTGGGAGTTGAAAGAAAGAATATCCTACAGAGAAAGAAACAGAATATTTATAGTGACGTAGAAACGAACTATTTTTCATATTAAATATGGCAGGTGTATTAATCCCACTTGTTGTTTTAAAACTTTTTTATACCTTAGCCAGAATACATGTTGGTAGCACGCATTAATAATACGTCCCATTTATAAATGACACGTCCCATTTATAAATATATCCCACTTACAAAGATTGTTTAGCTTCTCTGAACCCATAAACAGATAAAACAATCTTTAAATAGCAGCTAAAGGATTGAAAACACCAGTAGTGACCACAGCCTAGTTTAGCAGATACACATGTACGGGCAGTATTTACAATACAAGGAAAACATGACACGGTACAAGAATTCCAGGCAGGTCTGCTGTTTTTGCAGGAAAAACGGGTAATCAGCCAAGGAACACTAGCCTCGGTAACAGCTTCTAACTCTTAGCAGTTTGTGAGGTTTTTAAAGACGTATCAAAACATACCCAGGTATCGGGAAACTCATTGATTCCTTTTAGTACTGTAAAATGTAAAAGCTAAAGGAAAGCAAGTTCTGAGTAGTTGAACAATGAAATATGTGAAATATAGGGACTACAGAGAGTCAGAAAAGTTATTGGGATGGGGGGGTTTGGATAGTCTTAGCATAGATTATAAGGGGTTATAAATTTAATCTGTGCTGTAAGGAGCTTTTTAAATTTTTTTCACCTTGTCCTACAGTACATCTTAGTAAAGCCATCAAAACCAAGTGGGGTGTTGAAGATGTAGAAAAGACAAAACCTAACGTTTTCTAAATTAAGTTTCAATTCTGAAGTCATTATTGCAACAGCTAACAAATAGCCTCACTCTCCAAAATGCCAAGGGCCACAATTGGTTTCACCATTAAAGAACATGTTTGTATGACTCTTGTGGGGCAGCTGGGACACTCAGTATTTCTTTTAAGTAAGCCCATTTATTTGGGGGCTGATAGCTAAGCATCTATTTTTGATAATCTGGTGTGAAATCATGAGGAGGCCCTGAAGTTGGAATTATTCCGTTGGGACATCATCTTTACTGACTTAGATCATCAGAAGCCTCTGAAAATCACAGCACTTTAGTTTAGAAGTGAAATTAGGTCTCTGAGTTACTTTAGGAAACTCTAAAGCTTTAAGTTAAGTCCTAATCTTCTTTCTTTACCCTATATGTGGAGCACAATTCCTTGCTTTTTCAGAGACGAATTTTGTGGAGGACAGAAGAGAAAGAGAACGTGGCGATGGACTCTCATGCTGCAGAGAAGACCAAGCTACATGCGAGACAGACAGCGAGGAGGAACACCCATACACTTTCATGGAACTGGATGAATGTGTGTATGATTTCATACTGGCTGAGGAGGAAGAGAAAAGGAAAGAACGTAGGTCTTTTATCATGAACAGGCCGCCAGCCCCTGCCCCTCGTCCCCAGTGTTCGCCCGTCAGAGAAGAGAACACTCCCTATATAGTACAAGGTTAGTGCTGCTGCTTTCGAAATATTTGCTGGTACAATATAGGCCTGTCTCTTCTGTTGGTGAATAGTATTTTTTAAAAGACTGAGATCCTTGTTCAGTTACTTTCAAACCAACAAATTGGTTGATTCAGTCAACCTGTTCTCACCTTTCAAATGAGCTGAGAACTTTCTGACTAATGTTAATTTTCAATTTGCATCTCAGCATCACTTTTTTGGTTTAATTTTAGAAAAATTATGACAATATGATGGAAAATTAAGAATCACTGGGCTAGCTGTGAGTGCATCTGTTTTAACAGTGCGATACAGAATGTGCTGTTTGAATCACCTTTCCTTTCAGTGGCTTTATCAAAATGTTTTTACTGAATTCTAAGAGAGAGATTTTAGCCTTTTTTTTTTTTTTCCTGACAAGAACAGTAGGCAGAAATGCCTGTGTGAGAACTCCTCTTTCAAATACTGTTTCTCCAATGCAAGATGCTAGAAATGGCCACCTGAGGAAGGATTATGTCCTTATACCATTCCTGTGAAAACTGGGGGACCTTTTTGAGCTTATTCATGGAAATGTAAGGCTGGAAGAGATTTCAGGTAGTCCAATTCAGACTGAAGCCAAATTTCGAAATAACAAAAGGGATTTCTGTGAACCTACTGTGGAGATCTCTATATAAGCCCAAAAGTCCCTACTGCCTGCGTTTCCAGGCTGCACTACAAAACCTGCCAGTGTGTAAGAATATGCATAAGAATAAATGACAGAAACCTAGGCTGAGAAAGGACACCCATAGATTGCTTACTCCATCCAGCACATGGTTTGCACTAAAACAGGATTAATACTACCCAAATCATCCTATTGAATACAGAGCACCTCCTTTTTCATGCCCATTTCAGTCAGTGATTTATTTTATTCTTCCTAGTTAGCTCTTTTCCTCCAGGCTGTATAACTCCAGGTGAGGGCCAGAATGTGTGTGCTAATGCGTTCATCATTTAGCTGCTCTTTCTTCAGCACGTTCAGGAGGTATAAGGATGAATCATTGTGGCAGTTAAGTGTAATCCAAGAACAGATGTGTATAGGGGGCCTGTTACAACTACAAAAGTCCTGAAATGGATGCTTTTACTGAGATTGCCGGACCAGTGTCTCAAATTTTGGTCTTCCATCATCATAGACAGGCCAATGACTTGAAAACCCTTACTGTGAAGATGCGTTATTTGTGAGATTGCTTTTACTGTCTTTTATTGCACTGGAGTGTTTCTGCTTTATCTACCCTAGCTGTTCACCAAGGAAGAGACTATCAGAGGAAGTGCTTTGATGGGGCTGTGGTTCTTTTACACCCTATATATGTATATATACACACACCCCCAAGGTTTTTAGCTTTGCTCTTATAAGCAGGTAGTGATAGACAAATTACTTTCCTGTTCTGTGAAATCCGCCTCTGACTCAAGTTCATTTCCTTATACAATACATGAGAAAAATGGAAGTGCTTCAGGAAGGCTTCAGTTGACAACGCAGGCCTCTGTTTTGCCTGGCTGCCCTGCTACTTCCCAATCTGGAGTTTCTCCCTCGCCTGTTTTGTGCAGGGATTCCTGAGAGAGTGAAATTTTAGACAGAAGTGATATATCTTCAGCTGAAAGATTTTTCTTGCTACTTGGATTGGCAATTTTTGTCCTTCTGCACAGTGGTTAAAAAATGCTTCATCCGGTCCAGCAATATCCCAGTTTCCAGTTTATTACATTAAAACTGCTTATAATTGCAAAGAAAAGATTGTTTCGGCTGCAAGAACCAGAAAATTTCATTCCAGTCCATCATTAAAATCTGCATGTGTTCACAGCCATTACTTTATAATTTAATCTAATCAGTGTAAAATAAAATTACTCTGGCCAGTGCATATGCACATTTTTCATCCCTCAGATAGATGGAAGATAGTTTCAGGTTTTGTTTCCATATGTTGTGTTAAAAAGAGCATTGCAGAAGTTGCAAAGTCAAATCATCACCAGTTAGAATTGAGGTCATTTTGCTGTTTTACTCCTCCTCGCTGCCACAAACATGACAATACAGTCCTTAAATATACAGCCACGTGCTGCTGTTGATCACAGATAGTTAGTTTTATCTGGTGTTTAAAGTGGGTGAGCATAAGATGCAAAACTCTTCAGTGTTTTTCATTCCCATTTTTCTTTGAATATAACTAGTGCCTGCCTTCGGTCCAATGTGTTGTTTCAGACCCTGCTGTGGTGAACCTTGGATTTGTTCTGTGTCCATTGTGGTTTTGGATGCCCAACAGGAAGTAACTAAGATGCCATTCTTGAGAACAAGCATTATGTAATGCTTTATTCGCTCAAAGAGGAGATCCCCTTGGTTTCAGTGGCCACTGTGAGTGCTCAGAGCTTCAAATTAAATCATTAGCATGTCTAGTCAGCACCGTGACATCAGGGATTCATGAGCCCAATTGCTGGCTCAAATGACTTGGGTTACACTGGGGCTTTGCTGGAGAGAGAAGTCGTGTTCTGCAGAAAAACTTCTAGTTACTTAACTAGGGCATCCTTCCCTCCTCTGTGTTCTTTCTCCATTCGCTAATTACCTTTTAACTTCTAAAACAAATTAATATTCCTGTAAGAAACAGGTTGTCTTCACTGCGCAGTTCTGGTTGATCTTCAGAACTGTTTCCTTCTGGTGTTCAGCAAGACACAGGTCCTGTGGGAGAAATATGAGTAGAGAATGGAGCATGATGCACAGAGGATCACACTGTCACCCACAACTGGATCCCCATGTACTTTGGGAGTTCATGGAACGAACACGCTTCATGCCCCAAGGACTGCAAGCAGGCGCTGTTGTGATAGTGCCATGCAGAGATGTAAGAGGAGGATTTCTTTTTGCCCTTTATGTGCTCACAGAGGTGATGGAAAATTATGAGCTCATTTATTGACAAAAAAAAAAGTGTAAGCATTACATAGCAGAAATGCCTTTTGCCTCTTGGATTGTGTGCAGGTTCCTCCTTTTTAATTTATTTTTTGCACCCATCAGGACAAATCAAGTGGCTGAATTCCCACGTGGGCTTTCACCACACCTTTGAAGTCCATGAAGTTACAAAAGAGTATCTTCTCCTTTAAGCAGAAGTGGTGGTGTTTGCATGAGAATAGCAGCAAAGAAAGTGAGCAAGTAGCCCTCAGTGTGATAAGTAGCTTTCAGATATATGGAAGCTCCAGTTTACACTAGGCAGAAAGCCTGCTCCGTGTAGATTACCACTTGGTGCTCTGCAGAATAGGATAATGGAACTGTTGATCTATAGAAAACAAACATGGAACTTCACAAGCCCATATTTAGAGTCTCTTTCAGAGCAGGATCTACAATTCCAAACCTAGGCAGCAGACACTCAGTGATGCAAGTTGTCATAACTGAACTACTGCAGTTTACAGTTTGAGCATCTGACCTGAATTTGCTGACAAATAAATACTGGGAAACATGAGTGAGATGAAAGATTTAAAACATAAATGTTCTAATCACTTTTACTCAGTTTCATTTATTCTATTTTCAAATTTTAATGAACGTGCAAACTATTGTACTGAGCACTGCTAAACATGCTGCATCTTTAATAAGCAGAGAGTACATTTGTTCTTTAATTTAGACCAATGCAAGAATTCTGCCTTCTGTGTGAAAGGCTCATCAACCAATGGAGCTGCAAATTGGCGCCAAGTAGCTTGTTGTCCAGATGGTGTGCACTCTTAGTGTGCTCCCTTTCCATTCCTGAAGTGTTTAGTATTCCTCTGTAGGTTTTTTTGGGTTTTTTTAATTCTGTGCTGCCAAAACAACTGTTAAATAAATGTATGACAGTGTTTTGTTTTCTGCTTACAGTGCAATTTTGATGTTCCCTACTGATACCAGATTTGCTTGAGCTGGAAACTGAAGTCCTCGTATTCTTAGGACAGGTGCTTGAGTTCCTGTAGCACCCCCCTATCACTTCTAAGTCTGACCTACCAGGACTGGTTTGATCATTTACCTCTTACCAGAGACCACCAGTATGAGAGGGGTTCTCTGCAGCGAGGACGCCGGTCCTACAACAGTGTAAATAAAACTTCATATGCTATAGCCTTTGTTCCTTTGCAAACCTTCCCACAAACCTCCCTGAAAGAATCCCCTCTGTGCACTGGAAACGTTTTACTATTTTAAGATAGCTATCTGTGGGACTTCACATAGGGTTAGAAGTGGAAAAATATGTTTCCCAGTTACTATCCCTGAAGAGAATAGCATTCTCATTGCTTATCAAAATCACAGAGTATGCAGTAAAAGTAGCAGCCAGTGGATGTTTTTAGGGAGGCAGAACATCTTATGTACGGAATAGACAACATAAACCCAAATGAAAAAAACAAAATCCACAATGGAACTGTTAGTGTCTTGGAAACTTATCAAGGCGATTACTGAGAACCGTAGCGATCACATCCTGAGTTAGTAATTCTTATTATGCAGGTTGTTTAAATGCTCTAAAGCAGGGGTTTCCAAAGCAAAGCCTCAGAGCCCATGCAAACTGCAAAACATTTATGTCCCACAGAGGGGTTTTTTTAGTACTTTCCTACAGTGAGTATAAAGTGCTGCACTGCAGATGAATTTCATTATGCGTCCCCAACTTAAGAGTGATTTTCCATGAATAAACTACTAGGATCCACTGTTCAGCTGTCTTAGAGCACTTAGACTGTTTTTACAGACCTGGCTGGGAAGTGGTATACTGGCTTCATCCACTGTGTTCAATCAAATATTTTGCTATCTTAACTTCAGTAGATTGAAACATGTACTGAATAAGGTGCACAGAGAGAAAATATTTATACGATGCTGCCTCGTTGCAAAGCAAACTGTTCTAAATAGCGTATTTCTGGCAAAACCAGATATAGAGTCTTTCCCTTTTTGCTTTTCTCTACTGAAGAAAAATAGGACTGCAGAAGTATAGTCAGGTTTTACATGCTGGAACAAATATTCTTGAGTATATCACTGCAATCCTTCCAACTCCCATAATCCCCTAAGTTTGA